GCATATTTATTCATTTCACACTCGTATGAAATATGCCAACCTTCGAGTAGTTAGTCATGGAATTTTAAATCCTACATATGCATGTTAATATTTTGACAGGTAAACTTTTCCCTTTCAGTGATTATTTTGCTTTCTATGTTAACTTATGAAGCATCTTTTTGAAGAAGGGGTATCTAATCCGTACGTTACGTAGAATATGTTACAATGTCATGCAGTAGGATCATTGAAGAACAATTTGTTCTTGAACTTGTTACGTTGGCTAGTACCTTTTTCATTATACTTGCTTATTGGCCTGGAAAGATAATTGTATTATTGTGTACTTCTTTCAATGCAGGATTTGCTGGATATGTTGATGAAGCTAAGAAATGAATTCCATTACTGCCTTTTTTGTGGATGTCAGGTAAATAGGATCATATCATAGAACAATGCTATCATGAGCATTTCTTGTTCCTATATATATATATTTGAATGATCTAATGAGCACCAGTGACATGCCATATACACCCATTGATGGATTTTAAACTTTATTTAAATGTTTGAGGTCCACCATAAATTTATCCACCAATGGATATATATGATACGTCACCGGTGTTTAATATAAAATGAGCACCGATTCTTAGTAGATCATTCCTATGTATTATTTAATAAAAAAACTAGTTAGGAATGTCGACGTGGTTATATCAAAATGCTGTTTTTCATTGTACTTAATGGCCCTACATCTTTTTTGTTCATCATGTGTTTTCCAGTACGAGTCAATGGAAGCCCTGTTATCCAACTGTCCTGGAATAAATGAAGACGAGCACTAGATTATATGCCCCGGATCAGAAGTCCAGGAGTCGCATTTGAACTCGGTCGACATCATAATTCCCAGAACGACCAGAAGCCGCAATGCAAATAGCACATCGTTGAAGTGGAAAAGAATTTTCTGTCTTGTCTATATACCAAATATCAACAGATGCATTAAAAATCCAAGTTACCTTTTTCTTCATTATTGTATCTTATGCGAAAACTGGAGTCGTTCTGTAAAATTATTACGAGTTCATTGCCTATTAGAAGGCTCTATTGTGAACTCATCAAGAATAGAAAAGGGATTGCAGTCATTTTGATTACGATTATCGTTGCTTCTTCGGCAAGAACAGGGGAATCTTTAACCTTTGAATATAAATAGACTTGATTCTTGTTGAAACAAACTTGTCGAACTCATTGAAGATCAATAGTCCATCTCGGAAGTAGATGTATAACATGAATTATTGGTAATTACATGCAATAGGCACTTCGAACAGTGGTGAGCAAATACTAAACAAACAACAAATGTGATAAGACACCCATTTGACATAAAGTACTACATAGGCAAATACGAGTCTTTTGCCTAACGGAGCAGAAAGAGCAGATGGCACAAGTAGATTGCAAGGAACTTGAGAAGAACCTGCAAGTTATTTAAGATACAAGTTCTAAAGTGGCCAGTTTATATGCTGGACAGAAGAATTAAAACCCCTGGATAGATTGCAAGGGGCTTGAGAAGAACCTGCTAGTTATTTAAGATACAAGTTCTAAAGTGGCCAGTTCATATGCTGGACAGAAGAATTAAAGCCCCTGGACTGCTGAAGTTCGTGGTACTGTCCTCCACCTTGTCGAGCCACCTCAAGCTCATTGGAATACCGACTGTTATCAGGCTGTGAAATTTGACCCAAACCAAGATTAGGAGGCATCTCTTGCAAAGTACTACTGACATGGTCGCCCTTAAAACCGTGCGAGAATACTGAAAAGTTAACAATAGGTGCACTGTGGGTAACCAACGGTTGAACCAGGGGTGTCCCATTGGCATCAAGAGAACTGTTCTCCCCATGACTGGACGAATGGTTTCTTGAGCCCCATGGTTGGTTTGACAGAAGAGAGAGAGCACTGCTGGAGTCCGAGACTCCACTGTAACATTCTTCTGAAGATACTCCAGGACCCAAATAACTGACTCGGGTCGTTAAACCTTGCAGAAGATCTGGTGGAGGATTTTGCAAATTGTCCTGCCATGAACGTGCAAACTTTCCTGTGATCTTAACTTGATTGCCCACCACTCGTTCAGACGACATTGTATTTGGCCATGAATCCCTACCAGTCAGATTCGGGTTTGTAGCAAAGTCCATCACAAAGCCTCCAGTTCTTCCATGGTTTTCTGGCATGGCAAATATCAGTCAAATGAACTCAGTTTCATCAAAAAAGAAATCAAACAAAATTGGGAATAAATATGTTGCACAAGTAATAGCAGAACAAGAGAATATCTAAGAAGAAGTTGAGTCCATGATGCCTAACCAAATATGGATGAAGAAAGATTTCCATAGCGAGTGGACAATAAAGATCCAGGTGGCAGCTTCCTCCTACGCTCATTGTGGCCTGCAAGTCGTCTGCGGCAACTCCGTTTTCCTTGGTCAAATTCAGGCAATTGATGAAACCTGGAAAACAGTAATCCAAGAATCTATCATTGCAACAACAATTGATGCCATCAGACATCGTTATCTTAGTTAAAACAAAATCCAATAACAGTAGATTGCTAAAAATGAATGAAATATTGCTTATTTTTTCACTTTTCAAAAAGTTATTAGCAGACACTTGGAATCACAATATACCAGCTAAATCCTTCTGAAAACCTCGGAGATGTACTAAGAAAATTGGCATAGTAAGTTAAATGAGTACTCCTATCATAGGAGAGAACACAATGAAACATTCTAATCTCAAACAATTTAAATCAATCTTGGAAATATTCCAAATATTACTATGATACAAAGATTGTGGCGCACGAGGTGTGGCGAGGACAGAAAATTAAAGCAATGAAACCTCACCAACGTTAACATCTTTTAATTGATCAAAATTCAAACTAATTGCCAATGTAAGTTGCAGTTGTGTGAATAACAAAACACAACATATATATGTATAGCTCGTGAACCTTTATCAACCATATAGAAGATACACCACTTTGCTTCAGATTATGCAGTGTTGAATAGCTCTGCCAATTTCCTCACAAGAAAATTTAGCAATTCCAAGGCAGCAAAGAGTTGTAGCTATACTTCTGTTAATCGAGAATAACTTCAGTAATAGAATTTAGAATATAGTTAGCAGCACATAGACCTATAGTGCAAAGCTGCACAAGAAGGTCGCGTTTGTGGAAAGAAGAGTCAACAAATCTAATAGCTGACAAAATGCATTTTACTTGCATATAACTTGTTATAACAGTAATTTTGAGCTTGCATACAATATATGGATTTTTTCTTTCCAAATTTCCAAGCAAACAGACATGATCTTTTTTTAATATTTTCCTTGTATTGTTATTGTTATTTTGAGTTTGAATACAATATATGGATTTTTTCTTTCAAAGTTTCCAAGCAAACAGACATGATCTTTTTTTAATATTTGGTACTAAATTTACTGAACTATATCCTACAACGTCATTCTTTTCATTAGTAACAAATCATGACACATCTTATGCACGACTGATACGTAGTATTACATGGTACCAAACAATAGAATGAACAGCTTATTTTTCTATCTTAGGATTTTCTGATAATGTTTAGTCTATCTTATTGAACATGCCACTAAAGTTCAGCACTATCATAATCGAAACCTTGAATGAATTTCAAAAGGCCTCTTTGGATCAGAAATTTAAAAGCAACACTATCAACAAAACTACTCCAGGGTGTCTACTAGTCTTTCTAATCATTCAAGCAATTAAAGTGATAAAATTAACATATTGAGTTCGACACAGACCAACAGAATCAATACCACAAAATCAACAAATATAATTTAAAAAAAAAAAAAAAGAAGAAGAAGAAGAGAGTACTCTAGAGAAGTAGCAAATAAACTATACGCAATTGTGCACACATTATCAATAATAACTTATTGTGTACATGCTCGTTTGCCAACATTTAAATAAGTCTAAAGGTGTACTTTCGATTTGCCCCTGTATGGTGGGGGAGTAAAATCAGATTTTTTTTTTTTTTTTTAGAAGTTGATGAGATAGGTAGGTGAAAAATTGTGGAACTGTGTTGAAATGAGTTATCGTGATTTTGCCTAAATAAAAATCCAGATACCAAACAAGAAAAAACTAAGTTGACCTGCTGCATTGCTGGCAAAACCTTTGCTCAAGGCCTGCAACAGTGACCCTCGGGAACTTGGAGTGCATACCACATACTTTATGCCTTGAATAGTAAGCCTTAGCATCACTCAGATCTACATTACACCCTTCTACTTGGCACCTGGATGGCTGCCCACTCTGCCCCACCCCAATTCTCCCCTTCTTGGCAGGTGATGGGGGAGGCAGTCCGGCGGCAATCGGCGGCAGAGATGGAGGCCCACCACCAAATTTGTCCTGCACTCCAACACCCACATCTTCGAAGTAGATTTTCTTGCCAAACTTCAAGCCATTGAGTGAGTCTGATCCACCAGAAGCTGATGAAGAAGAAGAGGCTGAACCAAGTTCCATTCTTCTTGTCTAGAACTCATTCATCACTGCCTCCTGAAGTAGTCAAATGAATACCACGTTACCATTATTATAAGGAGACAAAAGAAATAGACGGAGAAGATATTTATGTATAAACGATTTATGGGGTTGGGAAAGGAGTAATAAAGGCTAAAGTGGGGCTGTTTTGTATTTTTCTCGATACAGGAGTTTGTAGTTTTTGTGTGTGGTGGAAGTGCAGTGGTATAAAAGTAGAAATCTGACAAGGGGCCATAATGCCAGCTTGGGGTTCGTGTAGGACTGTTGTCAAAATAATGGAGATAGCAAAGAAATGTCAGAATGTAAGTGAATTTTCTTAGTACTTTTTGGTAGTTTTCAGCTGCTTTACAACAAACACTTTATAGGCACTAACTCGTCTGTCGTTTTTCACACTGTACAACCATCTTAATCCTTTCTTTTTTTTCTTTTCAGCCGTACATCTGTATGTTGCCAGAGGCATAAGTTGAACCAGTTCTGTTTTGAGAGTGGTCTTGATCAAAATTCAACATCTACATGAAAAATAGTTAAAATTTTGAAAAAATTGTAGCGGTGTTTCCTAATTTTTTACATTTTTGCAGACTTTACTACCTTCATTTTGTAGCAACCATAATATCAAAACTTTCAAAAATATGCGCCCCCAGGGCACATCTCCAAGTGGTAAAAGGGGAAGGTGGAGAAATCCAACTTTGCTTGAGACTGTCGCGTCAAGGGTTCGAATCCTGAAATATGGATTTGACTCTTGAGTAAGTGCAAGTATACAAGCAGCCTTCCACCTGTACCCTTGGAGGCATAACTTGCGATTTACCTCCCTCAAGATGCTTTAGGGCAGGGGCGGTGGAGGGGACCCTTAAGATTGGGGTTCAACCTTTTTAAAACTTTCAAAAATATGCACTTGGGGTCCAAATGGAGCGAAACCGTCCATTTGACCGTTAGTTGACCAAAAACCAAAGGATTAACTGAATTTTGACCAATTTTAAAATGTTAAAATAATAATTTTATATAATAAAATAAAATAATTAAATCAAAAAAATAAAAACTAAAATCCTATTCAAAATGTCATCTTCCCCACCCTACCTCAAAACCAAACCCAAGATACCGCCGACTATCGCCATCGCCGGTCACAAGACTCCGGTTATCTCCACCAAAACCTTCATTCTTCAAGAAATCAAGAACAAAACCTTGCAACGAAGCTGTTCAAAAAATTTAGAAATTCAGTATTATGTCCTAATTTCTAGTAGTATGTTCTAAATTCGAACGGGATTTCGAAAAATTGGCCAGAACGATTTCGATTTACAGTGCAATGGAGTTTTTTGGTTTCAATTTTTCTGTGTTTTGGTTGGACGACGGTGACCAATGTTTCTGGAGGGGCGGCTGAAGGAGGCTATTTTGTTTGCCTGGTTGATGGTGGCGATGATGGTCGGCGGTGGTGAAGACTTTGCTTGGGTTTCGATTTGACGTTGGGGATGCATGGGTTGAATTTTGGTCAACTAATAGTCAAATGAACAGTTTCCATCCATTTGAATTTCAGGTGCACATTTTTTGAAAGGTTTGAGACTGTAGATGACATAAAATGAAAGTTAAGGTAAAGTTTGTAAAAATGTGAAAAGTTAGGGACCGTTATTGCAATTTTCCCTTAAATGTTCGATAGAAGTTTTAAAATTATTTTATGTTTGATAAAAGTTTTAAAACTATTGAATATTTCAGAATCAAGAGTTAAAAAACCATTGATCGTATCACAACTTGCTCACTATATTTTAAAATTTATCTCATTGACCATTAAACTTTACTCTGTCCAACTCCATTGGCTATCGTATGAAATTCGTTAGTAAACTTGCATATGTGGCTGACAATAATGTGACATGACACGTTAAATTTTAACTCAGATGCCTCGTCAACGCCAAGTAAGTAATGCCAAATGCTCCTTTAACTTTTGAGAGAAAATAAGTGTTTTTCATCCTATGATTCCTTTGATAATTTGGCAAAATATTATTAACTGTATGTATGCGGCAATTAGTCGTCATCTTGACTTCCGTTTATGCTCAAAAATGAAAATAAACTTCAAAATTGGGATGTTTCATTTGATGTTTTCTAATTTAACTTATTCAAATAAATGGTATGACCAAACTTGATAAGTTCTGGAAGTGATTATTTAGGAAAAGTTGAAGTGATAAATTGGTGTGCATCCTGCTGAAATTCAATTGAAATAGTGATTTTGTGTTTACTGAATTTCTTCAAATATGGTTTACAAAGACGGGGAAGAACAAAGGTGTTTGTCATAGTTGTAGAAATTCCTGAAACTACTTGTTTGACTGCCTATCAAAGCAACAATGCCCAAATATTCGAAGAAGACGACGTAAAGATATCCTTAAACATAACTATTCGCAAGGGAAAAGGATATACATAAGATACCGGGAAAGGATAGGGAAATCTTTTCAGATTCGTATATGTGTTTGATTGTAATGACCTTTCTTGATGTCAACTTAATGACAGTCAAATAATTTGTCCACTGCCTAGCAAATGAAGATATTATTTTTTCACAAATGGAATTATTGAGCAAAATGGGGCGCGGTTATTGAATGATATAGAGATGCCTAGTTAATGGTCAAGTGATATAATTGAAATAGAAGAAGATTACAATCTCCATATACACTAAAAATCCTTCACATTGTATGTACTTACTAAAGTGTGTACACAGCTTAGCCACACAGCAAAATAAATGCGCCAAGATCGTCGTCACATCAAACAACAAATGGATAAAACATCAATTGTTAGGAAATATTTAGATCAAAATATACGGGATTAACATAATAACAAGCTCACTTTTATTGTCCCCAGACAATTGAGGTAATTAATCCAACTATCCCTAAGTTTAAACAATCACATAAACGTATAGATCAAAAGCAATAAAGTAAATAATATCAGATGTGATTACGGAGGAAAACTCCTTTTCAGAATAAAAAAAACTTTTGGGCAAACTTTCCAGTAAAATCTACTAGAAAATTAACTTACAATTTGAGACATCACAAAATTCTTATGGTGTCTTTTGAAAATTTGAGGGACTAAAGTGAAATATATTTTAAATTCTTATATTTTTTGGATAAAAAATTATATTTTTGATAAAAACGAGTTTTCATACATTAGTATTAGACTATTTTTGTAGCTTGTAATTAATTAGAAATCTTCAACTCGAGTAAAATTTAATTCTGATAAGTTAGATTCAAGATATTTAAGTTTACAAAAGTTATTATTTAATTAAATTGGTTATTGATTTTAAAGTTGTTGACGACCACGTGTATAGATAACTGTCATTTGGATTAAGACCAAAAAAAAAAAGAGAGAGAGAGATCATTGTAATTCGAATTTTGATTGTGGTTAATTGTAATTCTAATTTGATTAAAACTTCATTACTTTTCTTTACTTCAGTTCTAATACTAGTATACTAAGTCAAATGGAAGCAATTTCAAATTAACTTTCACATTGCCTATTTTGATATAAGTTCAATAAGATGATTATGATTAGTTGATTATTTTAATTAGGAAAACCATTAATATGATATAATAGCAATTCTATTATTTGAGACCAAATCTTATTCAAATTTCTTGCATTACACGATTATCAATTCTAATTGCATACATACTCAATGGTGAATTTCAATTATAAATATGTAAGAATTCTCATTATTACATCACATAAAATATAGAGAGCCATGGCCCAGAGAGAGAGAGAGAGAGTATTAAAAATAATAGGAAAAATTTTTCGCAGAAGATTTTATCTTCTTTTCAACCTTTTAAATAATGAGGTAAGATACTTTTATGCAAATATTTTGTTTTTGTATACTTCTATATTCAATTAAATATGCGTGAATTGCCTTGAACTTTCGAGTTCTTTAGAAAGAGATGTGAAATTCTAAGGGAATTTAAAATGATCTAAGATGGGTGTGTCGCTTTGTCACCGATATAAATCATAAGAGAAAAGTGGTATGAAGTGTAGATTTTATTTTTATATAATTATCTATGGAAACTGTACGCATCTTATTGGATATTTTTAAATACTCACTCATGTAATAATTTTACAGATTAGTTCGGATCGATTGGATCTGTGGCAGGATAGTGATGCAAGTTGCCAAGTGGATCGAAGGAAAAATAATTTTTAAGTTTTTCTGTCTCTCAATTTATTAGTTAGTTTGATTCATTAGACATGTTATTTAATTAGTTAGGTGAGTAAATTTTTTCAAGATACAACTCTTATGTTTTCTTTAAATTTATGGATACTTCAATTATTTTATTTTATAAAATTTTATTTTTATCGTTCCGCGTTTAACATAAAGAAAAGTGAGTTTTCGTTAACACTCTATAATTCATGAAAATTTTGGGTGTTACACAATTAGTCCAAACGCTGCTAAACCTTAGCTTACTCTAGCGATCTAATATGTAAATCATTAAGGAACTCCTTTTGCAATACAATCCCGCACTTTCCAACAACGCTGGATTACTTTTCCCTCATAGATCACCAAGAACAAACTCATTCCGGAGCGTTGGAACTCCAAGAGCATCTTCTCCAACTTTTGAACTCTGATGGCTTGTAGGTGAACATAAAAATTTTGGTGTTTGATCTTTAAGACTTAACCAATAAAAATATTTTTTGGATGAATTTATGAATCAATAATCTTGGAGTTGAATCAAAAGATCTTTAGAAATGTGTAATCTTCAAATAATGTTCTCTATAATGAAAATAATGTTCAACCACCCCTTTGGACAAAGTATGTCATGTATATTTATAATGAATAGTGTTTGAGGCGAAATGGGATTGAAAAACAATATTAAAATCGAATTATGTCATCACTTGGATTGAATTGCTTCTCAGAGGTACATTTATGCCAAGGGAGAGGTGCCTTCGCTGCTTAAGTCCCAGGCGAGTGATGAGGACCCTATTCTGAGCACTCAAGGGCTCAACGTGCAACCAACGAGTGGTCGTCTTCCTATTTCTTGATGTTTTGACATCCTTCAACTTTTTTTAGAATTTTACCACTTTTTAACTATTTTTACTTAAATTACAACTCAAATAACCATGATTTTGGATACAAATGAAGTCAATTACAACTAGGACCTAACAGCAACCATGTACAATTTTTATGTCACAAAAATTGTCATCAAAGTAGCAAAATATTTACAGCGTTCCTATATACATTAACGGTTAATAATGTACTCCAAATGATCTTCCTCTCATCAGCGTTCCTATGTGAATTGTCACCGA